TCTGATGATGATTGTGATGCTGATGCTGATGCTGCTGATGATGGTGTTGACGATGTTTATATGCATACTGGTGATGATGATGATTATGGTGCTGTTATTGTTGCTGCCGCTGCTGCTGTTGTTGTGGTTGGTGCTGCTGCTATTGATGATGGCGATGACGGCGCTCAGGATTCTGTGATAATGCTTATGATGGTGTTGATGATGCTGAGACCAATGCTGATGATAATGATTGTGCTCATGATTATGATGATGTTTATGACGTTCATGACGATTATTCAGATGATTATGATGATATTCATGCTGGTTATGCTGATCATGGTCATGATGGCGACGAGAATGATGCTGCTGATGATGACGATGTGGGTGATGATGATGCTTATTATTCTCCTGATTTTTTTTTTATGATTTTGATGATGATGCTGATGCTGCTGATGTTGATCGGATGAGGATGATGATTATGATGATGCTGATGATGATGCTGATGCTGATGCTGCTGATGACTATTGCGAAGGCCTTACGGCCGGCGCCGCCGACCCTGAATGGCGACGACGACGACGACGACGACGACGACGATGACGAGCGCTCTTGGGGGCCTCTTGGGGGTAGTTTGTGAGCCTCTTGGGAAGGTCTTAGGGGTCGCTTGGAAGCCTCGTGGGGGCCTCTTGGGGCTTCCTTGGGGTCTCTTGGAGGGGGCCTGGGACGTCTTGGAGGCTTCTTGGACGGTCTTGGGGCTGTCTTGGGCGTTTGCGGCAGATCTTTGGGCGACTCGGGGCCCTCTTGGGCCGTCTCGGGGGCCATCTTGGGCATTCGGACCTCATTTGGAGTGTTTTCGAGGTTTCTAGGCCGCCCGAGGGAAAAACGAATCTGCCCCCCCACCCCCCCCGGGACACCCCCCGGCCCACCCCCCCCGGGACCCCCCCGTCCCCCCCCCCCTGGGGAAGGGATCGAAGGGAAGGGGCTTCCCTTCGACTCGATTACGACACTGCCTTATTTTTCTCTCGCTCACGAGCTTGAGAAGGAAGCTGCAGGGAAAGGGGACGACGGAGGCGACGACCGACGGAGACGACGACTCGAACAGCCAAGCCCCTCGCACACGCCGACAGGGTCGGCGGATTTTTGTGATGGTGACAATGATAACGATGCTGATACTGATAACGTCAATGCTACTGATGATGATGCTGCTGATCATGATTGGTGCTAACGGACGATGATGATGATGCTGCTGATGATTATGATGATGATTATGATGATGATGGTGGTGGTGGTGGTGATGCTGGTCATTATGCTGCTGATGATGATGCTGCTGCTCCTGATGATGCCGCTGCTGATGATGATGCTTCTGCTTCTGCTGATGATGAAAATGATTATGATGTTGATGCTGCTGCTGCTGCTGATGATGATGCTGCTGATGAATATGATGATGATGATGATGATGATGATGATGATGATGATGATGATGATGATGCTGATGATGATGATGATGATGATGATGATGATGATGATGCTGCTGCTGCTGCTGCTGATGATGATGATGATGATGATGATGCTTCTGCTGCTGCTGATGATGAAAATGATTATGATGTTGATGCTGATGCTGCTGCTGATGATGATGCTGCTGATGAATATGATGATGATGATGATGATGATGATGATGATGATGATGATGATGATGATGATGATGATGATGATGATGATGATGATGATGATGATGATGATGATGATGATGATGATGATGATGATGATGATGATGATGATGATGATGATGATGATGATGCTGCTGCTGCTGATGATGATGATGATGATGATGATGATGATGAGGATGATGATGATTCTCGATTATGTTTTGTATCATTGTAGGGGGCTCTGGCCAGTGCTGCTGATCTGGGGCGTTCCCGATGGTGTTGAGGAGCGATACGGGCTGCTCGGGCGCTGCCAGACCCGGGCGCCGGCCCGGGAGGCCTGCCAGGTGGCGCCCCTCGGCCCGGGAGCCGAGCTCCCGAGAGCTCTGAAGTGTCTTGCCGCGCGGGGGGCTCCTTCTGGGTGCCCAGACGTCCGGCTGCTGGGTCTGCTTCGACGCGTGTGCCCCAGGTGTTTGGTCCCCGGCAGGCTCCTCGTCCCGAGTCTCCTCCTTCTCCTCCTCCTCCTCCTCCTCCTCCTCCTCCTCCCCCTCCTCCTCCTCCTCCCCGAGCCATCGGGCTAGTATCGATGCTCGGACGGCTGTGGTCATTGATACGCGAACCCACAGTCCAGAACTGGTCGGCCGAGAGTGCTCGCCACTGGGACGCCGCCCTGCCAGGCAACTCATGCCTTCAGGAGGCCTTCCTGAGGGCGCTGGACGAGGAGCTTGCCCATGCCATGGGCATCAAGTACGGCCACGGGATGCTCGACATCGCCACGTTCTACGACAGCATCCCGTGGGACATCCTAGTCGCCGCAGCTTTGCGGCTAGATTTTCCTCCTGTTATCCTATATCTGGAATTGTTACAGTGCGCTGCTCCCCGTTGTCTGGAGCAGGACAATGCTGTGTCCGAGATGTTTGACCCGCAGCTCAGCGTAGTGCAGGGTCTCCGTTCGGGGACCCGCTTCGCCAAGATGATGACCCACCACGTCATGGTCACGGTCACCACAGCCCATCCGAGAATGGGGGCGAGGCTATGGGTCGACGACGTCTCGGAGACATTCAAGGGTTCCAGCAAGGCGGTGCGCCTGGAGCTCGCCAGTGGCATCATCACCACGTGCCGAGAGCTGCAGGCGAGGAAGCTCAAGGTTGCGGACAAATCGGTCGTGGTCTGCAGCCTCATGAGTGACGCGCGTGCTGTTGCCCGCTTAGTCCGACGTGCTGGATTTACGATTCGGCCAGTGTCCCAAGCCACCTACCTCGGCATCGACTTCGGAGGCGGCAGGAGGGTGAGGGCCACCAGGGTGCAGCGTGAAGCGAAGCATCGCCTCATGAGCACCAAGATCCGCAGGTTCACCAGAGCCACCCGCCAGTACAGTGCCATGACCAAGCTCCAACGCCAGGGAGGGCTCCCCGCGGGCGTCTACGGCCACCAGGTCCACGGGCTCTTCGGCGAGCAGTTGACCAGGTGCAGACGACGCTTGGCTCAGACATGCGCCTCATCGGCGCGCGGCCGATGCCTTACCACGATCCTGGCCCTGCGGGCCCCTGACGCTGACCCAGCAGTGCTTTACCCCGTGCAGACGGTGGACACCTGGCTCAAGATCTGGAGGGATTGCCCAGATATCCGAGCAGGTGTTCGCAAGGCGTGGCCGATCATTTTAAAGCAGGTGCAGGCTGTACCCGTCCCAGCACAGGTACGGCAGATCCGAGGCCCGACGGGGGCCATCATACACACGCTGCTCAGGCTTGGCTGGACCCCACATGATCCGTCCACGTGGTCCTACCAGACAGGCCCCGACAGCAGCGAGGAGTGGCAGTTTCCAGACAGCATCTACACAGGCAACGCGCATGTGGACAGACATGATCACCTGCTAGCCGATATCCGTAAGTTCTGTGAAGCTCAGCTCTGGACCCAGGCAGCACGTCATTTCTGCGGCGGGGGCCTGGAGCTGGGCGTCGACAACACCTCATACATCCAGCTACTCAAGCACCTGGCGCAGGTCCCCAACGGCAAAAGGTTGTGCGAGATCATGGTGCTAGTGGCGTCAGGCGGCATCTGGAACAACGAACGGAAGAAGCAGGAGCTCAAGAACTACACGGGCACCGACAAGTGCGACCGCTGCGGCACCGAGGTGGACACCCCTCTGCACAGGTACTGACAGTGCTCGTGCAACGCGGACGCCAAGCCGTACACCGACTCCGATGACCTGTGCACGCAGGCCGT